TAAGTGCTGTCTGCCAGCCCCATAGGGCGGGACTGTGCTCACAGCCGGTGCAGAGAGAGTCCTGGGCACTCATGGATGGGGCGACCCAGCTAGGAGTCCCCAGGTTCACCCCAATGCCATGTGTCTCCTACCCACACTGAATGACATCTGGTGTCTGTGATGCATCCTTGTCCTGAGTGCTGGGAGGTCGGCTCCAGGCTCTGCGGACGCTGTGTTCCTGCTGTGCCTTTCCGGCATCCGTGGTTCTTTCTCTATCCCTCCACGGCACACTGGCTGGTGCTGAGTGGTGTTAGGTGACAGTGGCAGCTGCAGGCCACCTTGTGATTTTTCGAAATGCTCTCAGTCACCCCTCCTCAAAAGACACAAGGCACTCTGTCTTCTGAATCGTTCCAGCAAAGTCAGTAATTCGATGTAAATCTTTAACTTCCCTTTGGACTACATCGATCTGTCTGCTATGGCGACAGGATGGCAAAGTGCACCCACACCCATCTGGCCTGCAGACTTGTGTCCTTGGAAGGCTGACTGCCTGGGCAGGCTGCCCACCCCTGACATACTCACCACCTCTCTCCTCCGAACGTCCTGCTCCTCAGGAAATTAGGCTGCCTCTGTCTTCGGAATGTATGGGAACTGGCCACTGGTTTCCACATCCTTGGTAGTTGCTGTGATGTCTGGAGAGAGTACCTTGTGGCCCTACTTTGTGCCAAGCTCTGTGCCACCTGGCCCAGCCCCACGAGGTCCACATGGCGAGCAGTATGGCAGGCTGGATGGGAGGCAGGACTACAGAGATGTGGGGTGTTGCAGGGTGACAGATGGTGATTTCAGAGCAAGCATGGAAGCCGGGCTGCGGGTCCTGGTTAGGTGGAAGGAAGGTGGGGTGGAGTGGGAGATGGAGGGACCAGTCTGGAGGACACCACTCCCTGAGTCCCACGCCTGAGGGGTGACTAAGTAAGGTCAAGGGAGGAGAGGGCCAGGAAGATGGGAGTAGAGGGAGAGGGTCAGCTGGGTAAGAGCCTTGGAGACCAGAGAGGGTGTTGGTGTCGGGCTGGAATGTTGGTGATGTCAATAATGGCCTGGAATTTGCCAGCATCAGGATTCCTCCCAGAAGCTAGCGTGCTGTGCTCTCTGGAGAGATGGGTGGTAAGAGTGGCCAGTCGGGTGCCAGGAAGCATGGAGAAACCATAGGGTAGGAGCTGAGGGTTTCCTTCCACAGAGCAGAGCCCACCTGCTCACCCTGGGAGCCTCGGGAGCCGGCACCTGCCCTCCCTCCCTCCGTCCTGCTGGCTTCCTCTGGCTATGGGTGTACACTGACGGTGAGCCAGGCGCTGCCCTCCACCCCCACGACGAAGGTCCTGGCTTAGTTTCACGTGTGGTTTGTGTCCTTGTTCGTGGACTTTCTCTAGCGCTGTGGTGGCCCATTGTGTCCTGCGGCTCTGTGTCCTGGGGAAGTAGCTCCCGCTCCCCCTGTCATGTGATCTATGTCTTCTCCAGGTTTTGAAACCTGAATTTCCATGTTTCAGTCCTTTCATTCAGAACATGCAGCAGGGACCCATTTTCTTATTTTCCATGGGGATCACAGTGGCTGGGCCCTGTTTGTGAGTGGCCTCCTCTCCCCTCCCCCTTGGCCCTGGAGACACCACAGTCTCCAGAATGTCAGACAGCATCTGTTGCCTGGGGTGGGTCCAGCTGCCACCCTGTGGGTGAGGCTCCAGGCTCTCCTCTCCAGGGGGCACCTTAGTCCCACCTCCAGGTTCTTACAGCTCCTGCCGGCCCACCTCCGGGGTCACCCACCTTCTGCAGGGGATCTAACCTTCAGCTGCACTTGGTGCTGTGTCCAATCTCTGTTTTTGTTTAAAAAATAGGCTTGTTCTCACCTGACAGTTTTCATCTTTCCATTTCCCTGCCCAAGACCACACAACACTCAGTCCTGGGACTGGCCTCCACTATGTGCTGTGACCTCTCAAACCAGACTCCCCGTGTGCTTTCTCCGGTTTCTAGTTCTCACACTGGATCGCCGGTCCGGTTCCTGGTCATTGCGTATTTTGAGATTTTGCTGGCTTGTTTCTCTGCTTCCCCAGGTTGGGTATGGAAACGGGTTTATGCTGGAAACCAGGAAAGCCCCAGTTCATAGTTTCAGGCCACAAAAAGAAGGTGGAAGTGTTTAGATTCTCTGAGGTTTTCACTTTGGCGTGGGGTCCTGTCTGGGAGAGGTCTCATATGTGCAGAGTCGAGGAGGGCTGGAGGGCCAGCTGGTCTCCAGGGATCCCACCCTCCAGTGCTCGTCACCTCCCTAGACCCTGTCTCCATCTCTGGCAGCCTTGACATGCAACTTGCCATCTGTCTTTGGTTTCCAGCAGGAAGACAGACTTTGTTCTTGCCCTGTTAATACTCACTCTGGAAGGAGGGTTGGGAGAATCAGCTCTCCATCCTGGACCAGTGCTAGTGCTTTGACTGTAAACGTCACTTCTGGACAAAGGAATGTTGTCATCTGGAGGGGAGCAGAGCGTGTGTTCCTGTGTGTGCACGTATATGTGCACACAGGTGTGTTGAGTGCACATTAGCTGTCTGTGGCTGTCTGCCCGTCAGTGAGGGTCGTCCGGATGTCTGTGACCTTCCAGATTCCCTCAAGGAATGATGGGATGGAGGGAGGGCCAGGCTTGGGAGAGGACAGTGATGGTCTGGGGCCTGGCCCATGGTGGGCAGGACTAAGACCCCTGAGGCGGCCCAGTAGGTTGTCCTGTGCTGAATGCTCACCTCACCTGTGTCCTCCCTTTTGACAGGAAGAGACTATTTGTTGGAGATCGGGAAGAAGTTCAAGAAGCCCACGTTCCATTTGAAGGAAGTGTATACAGGCTACAATCAGGAATGAACCATGGCTGCCCACCTGCTCCGAGGCTGAGTGGGCCCCAGTGCCCAGGAAGGGGGAGCTGGGCACCAGGCACTCTGGTCTCGTGGAGGCCAGGGGAGCAGGCAGCCACTGCTCTACAGGTACCCCCAGCCCCACTGCACCCAGGCTGTCAGGGCTGCAGCACCAGGGGAGCCCCTCTGTGGAGCCTCATTCTTCCCTCCAGGGTGTGCTGTCCACCATGCTGGGGGGCCCTGCCCCTCGCACTCCAGGCGTCTGGGCTGGTGGCACTGAGCCCTCAGCGCTCCAGGCTTCGGGGAAGAGAGGCTTTGCTGAATGTCTGCCAGGCTGCTGGTGTGGGCTGTGATGCCCAAATAAAGGGACCCAGCAGCAGCTTACGTCTGTGTTGGCTTCCAGTCTCTAGATGAGGGGCAGGGCCTTGCACACAGTGGCATCTGGGCAGCGGTAAGGGGAGAGGGCAGGGCTGGCAGCGTCGCCCCAGGGACCATGCAGCCTCGGCTTGCGGAGCCATGGTGGCTGGGGCAGTGGTTCCACTCTGGTGAAAGATGCAGGGCACAGCGGGACTCTAGAGCCAGATTGGATCGTCAGGACATGCCACCAGGCCTGGCCTCAGGACAACACTGGTCCCCCTGCTCCGGCTTCCTGGGCATCTCTGAGGATCCTTGGCAGGAACTGGAACTTCCCGGGCAACGTACGAGGGTGTGTGTCCAGAACGAAAGGGGAGATGTGGATGGCAGAGGGGCCTGGGCCTTTTCCTTCTCCTGGGGTGGGAGGAGGACACCCTGCAGCCTCCAGGCCACAGTGCTAGGTGCAATCACTCCACCTCCCAACAGGCCCTGAGCCCCACCATGCTGTGCACAGCCTGTGGGGATACGCTTGCTGCAGGGCTGTGCAGGGAAGGATCACAGCAGCCACACAAGGTCTCCAGCCTTTTATTCATACAAGGACACAAGAACATATGTCACCAGCTGACACCACACGGCAGGACACAGCAGACTGGCCACTGCCTGGCTAGCCCTTCCAGAGACCCATGTGAGGTGAGGACAGCACAGGCCCCATTGGGTCATCCCATGCAGCACAAGGGCACCATCCTGGCATACCACATCACCGCCCAAATCCTCAAGTCTGGCTGGCCCTTGCCCACAGGGAAGGAGGCCCTGGGCCCAGTCCCCACCCCAACACTTCAGGGTTAGCATGGGGTGAGTGTGCCTGTGGACTGGGCTACCTGGTGGAGCTCGGCTGGAGGCCTGGACCCAACACACCAAGAACGGTGCCAGGGGCCCTGACCGGCAGCCAGTGGCCTCTCCAATCCCTCAAGGGAAAGCAAAGCGGTGCTAAGCAGCCTGCTCAGGACCCTGGCACTGGCCAGGACGGCTGTCCCTGCCCATGCTGGCTCCGCATCCCCCGGGCCCTCTGGGCCCACCTTCTCCTTGCCTGATCCCCTCTCTGGCAGGGTGCCAGGCCCCTCCCCAGGGCTGGAGGCAGCTGGGGCCCAGGAAGGAAAGCCCCCAGGCCTGTATGAACAGGAGGTATGCCCAGATCCTAGGCTCTCAGGAGGTCATATTTCAAAAGCTATTTGGGAGGAGCTGAGAAAGCTCCCAGTGAACATGGATGAGAAGCATCTGTACATGTCTGCACATCTGGAAAAGCCCTTAACTGTCAAAGCTCCCCCAGGCTCCCTGCAATGCCAGGGCTCACTGGCCCTGAGCTGAAGTTTCACCTACCACTCAGCATCCCTGTGGCCAGGTGATGGCCATGGGTTGCCTCCAGCCCTGGCCTCTGTTACCCTGAGCTGGCCCCTGGCCCTGGCCCTGGCCCTGGGTGGGGACAGGAGGGAGGATAGGTTGCTCCTCCCACATCTTAAAGTCCCTATGCAGGCTGTGGACCCAGCCCGTGTGTGAAGGGGAGGCTCACCTTTGCGGAGGGCCCCCGCTTGCTCTTCCTGGATGGCCAGGAGCAGCAAGCCCACCCACAGACAACTGAGTGCAGAGCCCAGGATGCATGGCTATGCTGGCTGCTGCTCAGGGCACATGTGAGGCCCCCGCAGCTAGTCTTCGGCAAGGAGGTCTGCAGGGACCGGCAGCACCTTGCCAGACAGGCTCTCACCTGACTCCGGGTTCTGGGGGGGCCTATGGCATCACAAGGTGGAGGCCTGACTGCATATGAAGGGTTCGTGCATAATCTCAAAGGCCTTCAAGGTCTCAGGTGACAGAGCCCTGACGCCCTCTCGGGGATTCTTGGGGCACGGAGGGGTGGGCCCCACTTTCTGACATGGGGAGCCTCTAGTTGTCATGGAAGGAGGCAGAAGAGGAAGGCACAGGCTCAGGGTGCCTCCCCACAGGCCCTGGCACTGGTCGATGATGGTGCAGGGAGCTGGGGAGAGGCTTGTGGGCAGATAGGGGCCCAGGAGGGAGAGCCCCCAGGCCTGCATGAACAGGGGCAAGCTCAGATCCTGGGCCCATGGAAGGTCCCTGAAATACATGGCTTTTGAGGACATTGTTCCCGGTTGACCTGAGGACCTCACACAAAATTAAGAGCCAGGGTGATGGCAAAGCCAGGCCTGTGGGGCCTGCACCACTCACCCTGCCCCCAGTGCATCACAGACAGCAGTCCCTTGCTGTCCCTCTCTGTCCTGCCCTGGGCCTCTAAGACAAGGGGAATTAAATATTGTCTGTTCGTGTTTTGGCAAAGTCAGTCCTTGGCCTCAGTCCCTGGGGCTGGGAGCAGTTACCGCCACCGGGGCCTGGCCGCTGAGAGAAGCAGGGTGAGGAGGAGGACCAGGAGGGCCAGGCAGGGCTGGGGGCAGCCTGCAGCTGAGGTCTTCTGGCCCTCCCGCTCCGACAGGCCGGGGAGGGCGTGGGTCAGGGTTGTCCGTGAGCTGGAGTTCTTCTTGTTGACCCTCCGGCCGCAGATGTCTTCGGGGCAGCCGTCTCCACTACCTGAGCTGCTGCTGCCGTCGTCACCTGGGGAGGAAAGGAGGCTCGGGCAGGCCAACCTCGCCCTGGGACCCCAGGTGCAGTGTTTCTGCGTGTGGGCCTCCCGTGCTAGGTGGCGTCCTGCCCAGGGCAGCTTGCACTGCCTTGGTTTGCCAAGTCGGAATGGACATCCTGGCCAGGTCTCAACTGTGCTTGGGGACTGGTAGGGGGCTGGGCAGCAGCAGTGCCCTCAGAGCCACTGGAGGATTAGGGGCAAGAAGGGCCCCTCCCCTGCCCCTTTTAGCCGTGGGGTGGGGCTTCATGGCACCCCCATGGCCCTCAGCCCCCTGGCATCGTCCCCACCCCCAGCCGGTGCCTGGCCCTCACTGGCGTCCTGGAAGTCTGCATCCTCGCCATTGTAGGCACTGCGCAGCCGGTTGGTCATGATCTTCAGCTGCATGATCTGCTGGCGGATGGTCATGTCGGGCTTGGTGATGTCCACCTCCACTTCGGGGTTGTTGATCTGGTTGGCCAGGCCATCACCCATCACCTCGGGGAGATACCTGGAGCCAGGAGGGCAACCCAGGGTGACTGCCCGAGTCGCAGCAAAGTGGCACCACCCAAGCACTCCCCTCCTCCCGCCCAGGTGATGGCACGTCTGAGACCCCCTCCCAGTGCCCTTCAAATGCCAATGGGAGCCCATGAAGGCCCCATAGCAGTGGGTGTGGGGCAAGGAGTTGGCTTAGGACAAGGATTTGGCCCTCGTCCCAGCTTTCTGTGTCTGCTGTGTGCCCCAGTTCAGGCACGGCCCTGTGCACCACACAGCACCTGGTGCCTCAGGTCAGACTTTGGGCCCATTGAGAACTCACAGGAGGGATGACCTGTGGTCAGCCAGGCGGCACCTACCGGCCCTTGGCCATCCCGTTCCAGCAGCGGTCGTCACTGGAGGCACTCATGGCCATCTTCTCACTGCACAGTGTCCCTGGGAGGCTGATCCAGAAGTCCTGGGCGTCGCGGAGCTGGGTTTTGGCTTCAGAGACCTGCAGGACAACAGTCAGGCCACTGGGGGCCCTGGCCCTGCCTGCACTCCCCTCCCCCATCCCCTAGGGCTGGGCCAGCTGAGGGACCACTCACCAGCCTCGCCAACATGTCTACATATGGCTTCTCCTGTAGTGCCAGCTTGCCCCGTGGCCGCTTCTCCTCAGACCCTGAGCTGTGAGGGTTCACCTTGGGGTTCCCGCAGCCCTGGATGACCTGGGGGGAGACCACAGGGGTCCTGGAGGGGCACGAGGCCATGTCTGGGACACCCCTCCCATGCTGACCACACCCTCCTGCCCGCACCTTGGCCGTGAGCGTGTCTCTGTTGTCCAGGAGGGCATTGATGGCTTCCGCCAGCCACAGATGCACGCTGCCGATGACGATATCTGAGCCCGCCGGTCCCCAGAACTTGTTGGTGATGAGCACCATGGAGTCTGGCACAGGTGTGGGCACACACAGGCAGTTTGTATGTCTGCATGCTGGCCCACCTTATGTCAATGCGTGCAAGCTCATACATGTTGGCATGAACATACAGCACTGGCCTACCACACATCAGTTCAGGTACATGTCAGCTCACACATGTTGATATGGATGCATGCTGGCTCCATATGTGTATATATCAGTGCATGTGTGTTGGCATGTGTCCTTGTTGACTCACACCATGCTAGCACATATGCATACCAGCATGTACATATTGTCCCACTACATGTTAGCACATGTGCATGCCAGATGACCCACATATCAGCAACATACATGTTAGCCCATGCATATGTTAGCCCACTGTGTCAATACATGCTGGCATATGTGCATGTTGGGGCATTTGCCCAAAGGAACTATGACTCCATAGGGCTCCCTCCCACACAACTGCCTATGTCACACCATCCAGACATTTAGAAGGAATCCTTGCCCCTTGACCCCGAGGACCACCTGCCACCCGGGGCCCTGGCGGCGTTGGCAGGTGGTGGCAAGTGAGGGCTCACCCAGAAGGTTCCTCCACTCGGCGTCCAGGTCGGCCTGGTTGGCCAGGCAGCCCTTGAGGACGTTGCGGCAGTAGTCGGGGCAGGGCCGGGCGCCGGGGACCCCCAGGCAGTGCGCGCAGTACAGTAGCTTCATGACGGCCCTGGAGCACTCAGGGCCCAAGGGCACCTGGAGAGCCAAAGCAGCCTCAGCACCTTGTGGAGGTGCCCAGCCCCCCAAGAAGCCCCAGGGTAGGGACTATGGATGGTAGTCAGGTGGCCTCAGTTCTGCTACAACCACAGTGGGGCCTGGCCTGGCCTTTCTCGGGGGTCCTGTCTCTTCCCGAGAGAGTGCTGGCCATGGGGGCACTCACCCTGATCATCACTCCCTGGCACACTGTGTCACTAACCCTCCCAGGGAAGCCTTCCTGAAATACAAGTGCCATGCAGATGAGAGGACCAGAGTCAGGGCCGAGGAGTGACTTGCTAAGGACTGCAGCTGGATGGGGAGGTGGCTCACCCCCAGGGCTGTCTGGTCTGAGACGAATGCTCTCCCACACCTATTATCAGGCGAGTCTGACGTGGGCTGCCCAATGGGGCAAGGCACCCACGGTCTGCCTGGCTTCGGGCCCCAGCCTGCTCTGGCCTCCAGGCACATGTTGCTCTAATCTCCTGTCCTCCTGACCTCTTCGGCTGGATCAGCATCAGCCCTAGACCCTTCTTGCTTTCCTTCCTGCCTGACACCCAGCCTGGCCAAGGACTAGACAGTGGGTGGGCTGCCCAGAGTGGAGCTCACATCTTCTTATGTGCTGTTGGAAGGTCCCTGGGCAGCAACCCAGGATCAGGAGGGGGCCCAGGGGCCCAGGTTTTGAAGCAGAGGGGCAAGGTTTGGGTCCCCAACGGGCTTCTGAGAGCCCTAGGCAGCGGGGCGCACCTGGGTCACCTTCCGGACCACGTCGCCAGCCACGCCCAGGCCCTGCACGAAGGAGCGTGCGGCCACGAAGGCGCGGGTGGCCCTCAGGCGCAGCTCGCGAGGGGCATCCCCGAAGGGCCGCAGGGGCTCGGCCTGCTTGCCCAGGCAGTCCAGGTAATCATCGGGCAGCAGCAGTTGAGGGTGCAGTTGCCTGAAGAGGCGCTCAAGCAGGCGGGCCCAGAACTCAGCTAGCGCGTCCTCCAGGTGCAGGTTGGCCCCGCGGTAGTAGAGGCGCAGCTCCGCGTACAGGTCCCGAAAGGCCTTGGCGTTCTGTGTGTACAGCTCCCCGAAGGCGCCGGGGAAGGAGTCCTGCAGCGTCCGCTCCGAGTCATTCAGCAGATGCTGGAAGTAATCTGGGCATGGGGAGGTGGCCGTGAGGTCCCCACACACAGGGCAGACCCAGGAGGGCTGGGTGTTTCGTTCATGTCCCACCAGGTGGCGGGGGAAGGCTTTCTCTGAGGCTCATCGTCCGAGGGAAGGATAGTGTGGCCGGCCCAACAGGAACAGGTGGGCTCTAAGGAGCTGAGGCCAGTTAAAGCTGGCCAGGACCAGCAGGCACGTGGAGATGACCTCGGGGTCCCTGGCTCCCTGGAGTCTGTGAGGCCAGCTGTTGTGGACAGGAGTCCAGGAGCTGGGACCCACTACGGGCCTCAGCCAAAAGCCACTCAGGCCCCTAGATCTCTCTGCTCGGGCTTGCTGCCCCATCCCTCCAGCACTGCCCAGTACCTTCTCCTTCCACAGAGATCTCAGTTCAGAGGCCACTTCCCGGTAATGCCCCTCCCTCTAGTGCTCCCACTTAGGCATCATTATGTTGTCCTGACATTCACCGCTTAGGCTCTAGGCCCTGGCCCTCGCTTCTCTGCCTGTGAGGGCCTCGGAATGAATGACAAACCGCCAACCTCTTTCTGCCACCACCCCAGGGCAGGCCCAGCACTCTGGCCCAACCCCCGCTGCCCAGGCCCAATCTTAACCCTCACACTGAGCTCCCTGGCTCCAGGCCACCTGGTGGCAAGCACAAGGCTGTGAAAGGAGCCACCTCAGTGGGCAGAGGAACTCCCCTCTCAGGGCCTGATGGAAAGAATGGCTCCACATCCCCGAACATGCCTGTGGGCTGGGCTGTGTTCATCACGGGTGGGTGCAGAGGCCTTAGGCTCTGTGGCTCATGTGTCCCTGCGTGCAGGTAGCCTTCTGCTACTGGGACCCCCAAATCCAAGACCCAGCCCCAAAGCGCTACCCCAACCCCCCTCTGACTCCACCTCACCAAGTGAGACCCCGCCCCCCAGCTCCTCTAGGACACTGGTTCGGTGTCCTGCGGTCCCTGAGCCCTAGGGCCCACTCACCGTCGAAGCTGCGCAGCTGAGCTGCCAGTGTGGCCTGCAGGATGTGGCTGCTGTCCAGGAGCGCAGTCTCCAGCTCAGCACGGCTGCGGTTGGCCAGGTTCTCCTCCATCTCGCTGGTGCAGCAGGTGTAGCCCTGGGGGCAGATCCGCAGATGCTCACCTGCAGGTACGGGGAAGGGGGTGCTGTGTGAGACAGAGGAGGGGTGGGAGGCTAGGGGGCATGGACCCAGGCTGAAGCAGCCATGGGACCAGAACTGGGGTCTCCTGGGCAGTGTGGATGGCAGGCCCCAGAGTGTGCACAGCTCAGGTGCCGGTGCCTGGGTGAAGGCAGGGTGGGGCCTGAGTGACCTGTGCAAACCCCAGCCCATCCTTTGCAGGTCCTCACCTACAGGCCCTCCTGGGAGAGCCTGGTGGGTATGTGCACAAAGGAGGGTGCAGAAAAGTGAGCCCAGGGCACGATGTTGGGCGTTATCCCCACCCTGCTGCCACCATGCACTGAGGAGGGAGGGCCATCCAGGGGTCAGGAGCAGCTCAAGTCACCTCTGTACCCCAGCACAGAGTGGCCTTGAGGTCCTGGGTGTGGGGTTGGAGGTGGGCTGCCAGACTCAAAGCTCACTAGAGGAGGCTTTCAGCCTGCCTAGTGTCTCTCGCCTGCCCGGGCCCAGGCTGAGGATGGGGAGTGAAAAAGGGATCCTTGAGAAGTAGGCAAACCAGCCTCAGCCTCCTCCCCCAACACCACCTGGGGTTCAAGGCCCCACTGAATAGCAGGCCTGGGTGGACCTAACCTACTATGGGATGCCTGGTCACAGACAGTTCTGGGCTGGCCAGAGGCCAAAGGGTGCAGACTACCCAGGGTGCAGACTGGCTCCAAAGGGTGCAGACTACCCAGGTCAGGACAGGCTGGGGAACAAGTCTGCCGGAGGGCCTGATGTGAGCCATCCCCGTCAGCAGGACGTGTACCCTTCCAGTGTCTGTCCCGCTTCCTGCCCCCTCAGCGGCCCATCACCCCTCCTGCCGAAGGTTCACAGCAATGCCCTGTTCAGTTTCCCTGGCCGGCCAAGGACAGGCTGAGTCAGCACAGCCTGGCAGGAAGGGTCACTTAAGGGAGTGGGAACACTGTACCTTTAAAAACGTGCTAGTCCCAGTTTTATAACAACTATGGTTTTGAGGTGGGTGCTGGGATCCCATTTCAGAGGCCAGGAAACTGAGACTGGCAGAAATTAGGTTTCGGGACCAGGCGGCTCAGGCTGCAGGTCCCCACACCCACTGGGGCACCCTGAAGCCCCACTGGCCCCACTCCCTACTTACAGCCCCCTTCCCAGCCCACTCACTCCCCAAAGGGCTGGTGCCAGCCTGGGCTGGGCTGTAGTGAAATGCAGGCAGGGTCTGTCCTGGGCATACGCTGGGTGGACCAGGGGCTGGGGGTCCCCTATGCACAGCTCTGGGGTGGTGGCAGGGCTTCCAGGGTCCTGAAGGAGTCCTGAGGTGGGCAGTCCCAGGTAGCTGACGTCAGCACCTGGCCCAGGGCATGAGCTGGACAGAAGCCTGGGCAGGGGGAGGGGATAGCCTGGAAGTGATCTCAGCTGTGGCCCCACCTTGGGTCAGTGCCGACAGACAGATGCAGCATCAAGATCACCTGTGTGCCCACACCTTGGAGAGCCCCAGGCCCAAGGAGGTGCAAAGTCAGGAGTCTGGAACCTGGCCCCCGGGGTGAGTAAGGCTGTTCAGGTCTCCTGGGAGCCAGCTGGAACAAGACATGCAGCCTGGCTCCCCAGGGCCTGGCAGAGAAGAGGTGCCCCATCCCTGTCCTCCTTCCATGGGGGGACGGGCACCCCCCAGGCAGGGAGGGCTGGGACATAAGCACTTTCCCAGCTACCACCCTTCCCTCTCAGCTGCTGTCACTGACTAATGTGTGGACCAGGACCCTGGCCAGCAGGGGCAGGATACAGAGCCCAGGGCCCTCTCCCCAGGAGTGCCAGTCGGCAGAGCAGGGAAGAGGGTAGAACATGGTGGTGGAATGGGGTTGTGTTCAGCCAATTAGGAGGAACCTGAACCCCCTACCCCATACTGACCAGAGGACCCCCATCCTGCCAGCCTCCCCATTAACAGGGACCAGGAGAGCACCCTTTGGCACCTGCTGCTCGGAACCATCAGGCTCCTGGTGGTGCTGGGGGTGGAGGTGAGTTGGGGGCATGCCCTGGGGGAGAGTTGCCAGCCTGGGCTCAGCTGTGAGGGGTACTCAGGCCAGGCTGGCTGGGTCCTGGAGCAGCGGGCTCTTCGGATATAGCTCTTCAGATGGGTAGGCTGCAAGGGCATATGCACTTGTGGGCCAGAGGGGCAGCAGCATCCTGGGCTAGCTGACCTCCCTCTGGAATCGCCCTGGTGCCCCGGTGGTCACCCACCCTTTCCTGACATCTGACATTTATGTAGACAGCAGAGAGAGAGGCTCAGTCCACAAGTGAGTACAAAACACCAGACGTGGGGAACTCCCTCAGGGAAGGCTCTGAGGGTTCCTTGGCACTGTTAGCCCACCCGCCGCTCACAGCCATGAGCTGGCCCCACAGCCTTCCTGGCCACCTCGCCCAGCCGCCAGTGACCTGCGCTGTTCCGGTAGCCCCAGCACAGCCCCCGTCCCTCCCTCCCTCCTCAGACACACACGGGAGTGAAGACACGGAGCCAGAGCTCGGGCACCGGTCTGAGGCCCCCAGGCAGGCTGGGCTGAGGCGGTCCTCCCAGCCTGCTCAGGGCAGACTCAGCAACTGGCAGTCAAGGTGCGAGGCTTTACCATTCCCCTATGTCCAGCCCTGGCCCCTCTCGGCCTGGGTGTAGGTCACCCGTTGGCCCTGGACATCAGGTTGGCAGAGGTGGGCTCTGCAGGGCAATGCAAGCCTGCCCCTCCTGGTCAGAGCCAAGTAGCGCCGGAGGGTGGTCTGCCAGAAGGGATGAGCTCCCTGGCCTTGGAGGTGTGCAAAGCAGACTGAAGGATTCTCCACTTGCCACTTCCAAACCTTTCTGCTCCCAAACACCTACATCTTCTCTCAGCTCAATACCTGGAGAAGTATGAGGACCAGGGCAGCGGTCTGCTCTCCCCACAATTCACTCTGAAGTCGACCTCTCTCCGCCACCCTAGTCCCCCCAACTTGGCCTTTCCCTCCCCACTGACCCCTCCCGGGGCACTGAGGCTGCTCTCTGAGCTGGCCAGCGAGCCTCCCTCCTTTCTGCCAGGTCCCTTTGCTAGGTTCTTGAGAGCTGGCTGCATCCTTCCAGAACTCTCCCTTCCCTCAGTTTTTTTGTTTGTTTGTTTTTTGTGTGAGGGGGGAGGAAGGGAGGAGTGGAGAGAGCTGTTGTTTCAGACCGCCCATCCTGCTCCTCAGTTAAGTACCTGCACTGACTTCTCTGGCTGGGGTTCAGACCTCCTGTCCCCCCCCACCCCCCCATCTTTGGCTTCTCCTCACTATCCTTCCCACCCCGTCAGTCTGTAAGCATCACACCCTCCTGCCACCTGCTGACACAGCTCTCAGCCCTCCTGTCTTAGGGCACTGACAGCCTCCAAAAAGTGTCCCCATCCCCCAGGGGGATGATGGTGCCACGCCAAGCCCATCTCTCCAGAAGCTTCCACGGCTCACTTGAGTGTGCAGACTTCTGCTCAACCACCTTTAAAGCCACATCCCAGATGCTCTGCGCCCACTGACCCAGCCACCGAGTCTAATTTGGGGCGTCTCAGGTATGGAAAGGCAGGCATGGCCCCTCCCCACCTCCACTCTACTGGGTCCTGGACCCCACAGCAGCCTTGGATGGCTGACTTCAGCCAGGGGTGCAGAAAGCTTCCCGAAGCAAAGGCCTTTCTCTGGACAACTGAGTGGGCCCCCTGCCCACTCCTGCTCCTGGACCCCACCCAGCACCAGGATCAGCCAATCCTCCTGGCACGTCCACTTGCCTGCTGGGCAGGAGCATTGGACAAATGATGGAGGTTCCCTGCCCACTGCCTAGCTCCAGACATTCTTTCCTTATCTCTGTCCTCCTCCCCCTTCTCACACACCTCAACTTTGGCCCCGCCAGTCCCCATGCCTCTGACAGCCCCTCCATGAGGGTGGCCTCAGACCCACCTGGGAGAAGACATTTCTACCCCCTCCCTTACTATCACATCAACAGCGGCAATAGCCCCTCCCCCTCAGTTTCCAGCACCCTTCCCTGCCCCTCACCCACTATTTCACCCACCACCCAAAACAAAGCCCCTCCGCCAGTTCAGCCAAATGACAGCGTCACCAAGGAGCCCCTCTGCCACCGATGCGGAGCCTCCATCACACAGTCGGACCTGCAGACTCATCTACGCTGGGTAGGAGGGGTCCGCCCCCCAGGACCACCAGAGGCTCCGCTGCCGGAGACTGGCCCAGGCTACAGGCGGCGTTGCGGGCAGCCTAACAAAGGCCGGGCGGCCCTGGTCGCCAGCGCCGCGGGGGTTCCAGGCGCCCAGGTGCCGGCCACTGGCCACAGGCTGGGTACGGAGGACCGCTCGCCCCGGAGCAGAGAGAAGGCGAGGGGGTCTAGAGACGCGGCTGCGCTCTTGCGCAGAGAGAAGGGGGTGCTGCAGGGAGAAGCGGGTGCTGCTGCAGTGGGCGCGGCGGCAGGAGGCGGAGGGCAAGCCGGCTGCGGCAGGGCGGGGAAGGCGGACGCCGTAGGGGGCTGTGGTAGGCAGGGGGAGGGGAGGAGAGCAAAGCGATTGGCAGGGAAGGGGCTTGCCGCAGTGGGTGCGGCAGGCACAGGGAGGGGGTGGCTGGGAAGGGAGCTTACAGGGGCTGCAGCACTGGAAGGGAAGAGGGATGGGCTTGACGGAAGAGGAAGGGAAGCTTGATGCAGCAAGGGGGCTGCGGCAGGCTGCTGGGGAGCAGAGGAAGGGGGTGAGGTGGCAGGACACTGCGGGGATACTGGCGCAGAGGGCCACGGAGGCGGGGTAGCGGTGGGGTTACTGACGGAGAGAATGGTCTGAGAGGGGGTGCAGTGAGGATGGAGAGACCCAAGGTGTGTGGAGAGAGGCAAGCGGGCTCATGATGGGAACAAGGGTGGAGAAAGGATGGGGATGCAGAGGGTGGCCAGGATGGGCTATGGCAGGGTGAGGGTGTGGTAGCATGGGCTGCGGGTGGGGCTGCGGAGGGGGTGATG